CACACACACACACACACACACACACACAAACAAACACACTTACACACACACACTTTTTGTTTTGTTATGTTTTGTATTGATTTGTTTGGTTTGTTGTTTTATCTTTGCTTTTGTTTCTGTTTGGGTTTGGGTTTTTTTGTTTTTTTTTTGGGGGGGTGGTTGTTTGTTTGTATTTTACTTTTTATGTTTTTGTATTTGCTGTTTGAAAAAAAGTACCCACATCTGTTATAATTTTGTTCATAGTAAATGAACTGATACGTAAAAATACAGCTGTCATCTTGTAGATTCCTTCACTCAGCAGTGATTGAATAACGTCTTTTAATTAGAAAAAAATACTTATTTCATTATTCTATGCTAAGTGGAAAGCTCAATATAATACACTTTTTTCTTCTACTCTAAACGTTGTCCGTCCACTGCAGGATGTAGCCCTCGAACAATGAGTCCCACTCTGTTCCATATGTAGAATATCAAACAAGAAATCAACGAAAAGAGCACTTCCAGACTTAATCCGTGTTAAAGACTACAGGAAACAAAAGAAGACTGTGCATGCGAGAATGTTCTATTCCGTCGAGTACCGGGTACCATTATTATTAATAACTACTGAACCCCCGGCAATGTAGGAGTGAACCCGGGCCCTGTCTACCACGACTGGCCACGCTCCCTCGCTCGCTCCCTCTCGCTCGCTCCCTCTCTCGCTCCCACGCACCGGCATCAGCTTTCATTAAGTAGATTAGTATCGGACTCGGCCGGAAAAACTCCCGTCCCCTGCGGGACAAAAGGGGTAAGACCTCTTTCCCCCGACCGCCCATTAATAAAGACACACCCCAAACCACCGTTACCATAAGAAAGAAGGCAAGAACCAAGTGTTATATCCCCTCGCTAGATGGAATATCAGCAGGGGTCTAATGCGGAGGTCATAAGGCATGCTTAATAACTTCCGGCGAAATCAAGGAACGGTAGATCCAATCAGACCCGCCACTTATGAGTGAAATCCCTGTAGGAAATAACGCTCAACTTAGGGACAATCCTTCTCGCACCCCTTCCGGCCAGCATTTTCACATGGGGTTAAAGAGTCCCCTGAAGCAAACACACGGATGTATGTATTATAGTCACGTAACACAAATATCATATATAAGAATAACAGAATAATATACATTTAGGTTATAGAGAAGTGATAAAATGAATAGATTAATTACTTTACCTATTCAATATAAATGTTACTATTTAATTTGCAATAATAATTTAATAATGATATAATGCATATTATACAAGTAGCCAACAGATCTATATATCATATAAATGAGTGCGCGTGGGTGTGTCTGTTTGTGTATGAGTGTGTGTGTGTGTGT